CAGTAGAGTGACTGTAGAGACTGTAGAGTGACTGTAGAGTGACTGTAGAGTGACTGTAGAGTGACTGTAGTGACTGTAGAGTGACTGTAGAGTGACAGTAGAGTGACTGTAGAGTGACAGTAGAGTGACAGTAGAGTGACTGTAGAGTGTCTGTAGAGTGACTGTAGAGTGACTGTAGAGTGACTGTAGAGTGACTGTAGAGTGACAGTAGAGTGACTGTAGAGTGACTGTAGAGTGACAGTAGAGTGACTGTAGAGACTGTATAGTGACTGTAGAGTGACTGTAGAGTGACTGTAGAGTGTCTGTATAGTGACTGTAGAGTGCAGTAGAGTGACTGTAGAGTGACAGTAGAGTGACTGTAGAGTGACTGTAGAGTGACAGTAGAGTGACTGTAGAGACTGTAGAGTGACAGTAGAGTGACTGTAGAGACTGTAGAGTGACAGTAGAGTGACTGTAGAGACTGTATAGTGCTGTAGAGTGACTGTAGAGTGACTGTAGAGACTGTATAGTGACTGTAGAGTGCAGTAGAGTGCAGTAGAGTGACTGTAGAGTGACTGTAGAGTGCAGTAGAGTGCAGTGACTGTATTCTTTGTGTTTGTGTTGTCACCTGCAGTCTGCGTGTTGTTTCAGGTGAAGCTGAAGCAGCCAGATGAAAGGATGCTGAGGCAGAAACAAGCCAACACACAAGGCCAGGAGCTGCCATCCCTGCAGAGAGCAGCAGAGAGCAGCAGAGAGCATCATTCTGTGCTCAGAGACACATAAAGAAGCTGCAAACAGACAGAAACTATCTGACCAACTGTCTGAAGCTGGAGTCAGTGTGAGAGAAAACCTTCTGAGTTCTCCACGTCTGAACCACGACAGGTTTTACTTCTGCTTCAATAATTCCTGTCAGAAGTTCCTCTGTGAGGAGGAGTGTTCTGGTCRTCCTGCTGCTGAGGACACAACCCACCTGCAGAGGTCCTGGGTGTCCCAGCGCCGGTCTCAGGCGGGTCTGCTTGATGAGCTGACAGAATAATTCGTTCTGGAGCTCCGGGTGGGCCAGGCACACCTGCAGGGCGCTCTGGGCCAGAGACACGTGGTAATCGATGGCCGGAGCGTCGATGGCCACGTGGATGAAGAGCTGGCAGGTCTGAGAGGAGGAGGAGCAGATCTGTGACCACTTCTTTTAACACTTTAAAGAAAGTTCTGTTGGCAGAAAAACTGCACACCTTGAAGAGTTTGACGGCTTCGGTCTGCAGCGCCTGAGAGGGCAGAGTGGTGAGAGGAGAGGACAGAGTGTCCTTACTGAAGGACAGGACAGGATGTCTCCAGATCTGACAACCTGACAGAGACAGAGACATCAAGAGACGTTTCCTCTACATCAGTCTGCATCAGAGCCCCTCCCACTGAGAGCAATTTAAATAACTTCACCTGGATCTCCACCCAGCTGGAAGAGTTTTCCCACCAGTTTCTCAAACTCTGTGCCGACTTTTCCCGCCATGTTTCCCGCCGCCACAGACAGATGGTAGAGCCACGAGTCCTGCAGACGTTCAGACCAGTCAGGTTCAACACAACCAACGCAAGTCCTGAACAACCAAACTAAAACCCAAGTTTAAACAGAAAACTAAGAAAAACATCAAAGAAAAAACACTTCAACCATCAGAGAAAAAACTTACCGTAGTTTTTGTATAATTAGTCACACGTTTTTCAGAGTTTGGCTGGTCCTGCCACTTGTACTCTGAAGTAACTTGTATATGTTTTTATTTTCTTTATGATGCATGTTTGGACTGATTCTGACTGACGTGAACCAAGGAGGAAACATTTCAGTCTGCAGGCTTGTGTTCAACTACTGCAGTATCTGTTGTTGTTTGTTGTGTTTCAGTAGTGAATTATGGAGGACTGGCTGAAAGCACAGGTTTCCTTCCTGCACTGAAGAAAATGAAGCTTCTCAGGTGATGTGGAGTGAGGCTGGTGGACCTACAGGTAACTAGCTCGTTGGTGGCTTTGACTGGGCCCAGCTGCTTGTGTTTGAACAGACAACTGCCTCGCTGTGGACACCAGCAGGCAGGGATACTCATGTCAAATGTGTACTTCTTATTGTGTTTTCTTTGTGACACAACAATAATGAACCACACCAAACTTGAAGGGAAAGAACTGAAGACTGTATCAGACCATCCAGCAATATGATGCTAATGAGAGGCCAGGAGGCCGAGGACAGTAAGCTAATGTTAGCTTGTTGTTGCTAACTTGTTGTTGTCTTTGAAAATAATTCATGTAAAGTTCCTCTCACCTGTGTCATCTGTCTGTTTAAAGCTATGTGCCATCCCAGGCAGCAGCGTCTGTCCTGACGTCAGGCACAACTTATCCATGGTTTTTTCCTCTTCATGACACATTTTTTACTGTTGTGACTCATTCTGCAAAATGACTTATAGTCCAGAAAATACTATATTTTGCCTTCTTATAATAAAACTGTACTTTGGTTGGTTTTCAGATGAATAAAAAAGAAAGAGGTGATTGCAGTTGAAGGCCCACCTGGGAGCTCACCTTTTCATGGAGTGACTCCAGCAGTAAGAAGGTTGGACTTTGCTCCTGAGCCTGGATGCGGATGATAAACGAAGCACCTTCCAGGTTTGGCTCTAATGTTTTCAGGTCTTCATCGGTTGGTTCTGTAGACCTGTCCACCTCCTGTACCTGGACCTCCCACAGTTTAACCTGCCCCAGGGGGAACTGAAAGCAGAGGGAAACTGTTGGTCAGAACCAGGTGGTTTGGGTCAAAGACTGGTTTCAGGATGTTGGAGCACACCTTGTCCTGTTGGCTGCGGAAGAAGAACAAGGTTTTACCGATCAGAGCGCACCAGACCCGTTTAGAGTAGCCATGCTTCATCTTGATGAGCGGTCCCTTCATGCTGGGCCGAACATCTGGCTGAGTGAAGAGAGGACTGGCAGCCTTCAGTCTCAGGACTCTCTGCAGGACCTGCAGCCACTCGTCCAGCAGGTTAGGAGAGTCCGCCTTCAGGTAACAAACATGTTTACCTGTTGAAATCTGAACACAAGGAGAAACAAACACAAGAAATGTTGGAGCAGCTGTGTGGTCAGAGTCCAGGACTGGTTCTCTGAGATGTAGAAACCCAAACATTTAGTGCTGCTGACCCAGAGGACAGGGGTGGGGGTCTCACCTCTGTCTCATCAGAAAACCCAATGAGAACTCCAAGGATTATTTTCATGAAACTTTCTTTAAACTGTTGTAATTTTCTGGGCTGTATCCTTTGATATGGAACATAACAGAGTGATGTTTTGTTAAATCCAGGAACAAACACAGGTCAGTGTCCTCTCCAGAGCTTCAGGACCCCTCAGACCTGGATCATGTCTTTTATACATACATATGTTTGAATGAGTTTGGGTAAAGTGGTAAATACCTGCAGAACTTGTTTTCCATCTCCACGGGTGATGCTGCTTGAAGCGTTGACTTCGATCTGGCCTTGAGGTTTTCGGATCACATCACTCTGAGGAACAACAGAACAGCTTCAGTCCCTGCAGCTGAAAGCACGGTTAATAGCATCCACACTGTTAGCACCATCCATACTGTTAGCATCATCCACACTGTTAGCATCATCCACACTGTTAGCACCATCCATACTGTTAGCACCATCCACACTGTTAGCACCATCCACACTGTTAGCATCATCCACACTGTTAGCATCATCCACACTGTTAGCACCATCCACACTGTTAGCACCAACCACACTGTTAGCACCATCCATACTGTTAGCACCATCCATACTGTTAGCACCATCCATACTGTTAGCACCAACCACACTGTTAGCACCAACCACACTGTTAGCACCATCCATACTGTTAGCACCATCCACACTGTTAGCACCATCCATACTGTTAGCATCATCCACACTGTTAGCACCATCCACACTTTTAGCACCATCCATACTATTAGCATCATCCACACTGTTAGCATCATCCACACTGTTAGCACCATCCATACTGTTAGCACCATCCATATTGTTAGCATCATCCACACTGTTAGCACCATCCACACTGTTAGCACCAACCACACTGTTAGCACCATCCATACTGTTAGCACCATCCAAACTGTTAGCACCATCCATACTATTAGCATCATCCACACTGTTAGCACCATCCACACTGTTAGCACCATCCACACTGTTAGCATCATCCACACTGTTAGCACCATCCATACTGTTAGCATCCATCCATACTGTTAGCACCATCCACACTGTTAGCACCAACCACACTGTTAGCACCATCCATACTAGGGCGGCTGTGGCNGCGCTCTATAAGTTCAGTACCATTTACCATTTACCATACTGTTAACACCATCCATACTGTTAGCACCAACCACACTGTTAGCACCATCCACACTGTTAGCACCAACCACACTGTTAGCATCATCCACACTGTTAGCACCATCCACACTGTTAGCACCATCCACACTGTTTGACTTGATGGTTTTTACTTTGCTTTACTTGTGACATATTGAATTTATTCACACCCTGGAGCCAGGCCTGGGGGAGGGGCTAGGTGGCGAGTGAGTTCATATCTTACAGGAACAGAATTTCTCGGTGCAGCTGGGGGCGGAGGGAGTCCGGTTCAGTATCCTTAGGATTTCATCTCTGCTGTTTGCAGATGATGTGGTTCTGTTGGCATCATCACACCAGGATCTTCAGCTCTCACTGGAGTGGTTCACAGCTGAGTGTGAAGCGGCTGGGATGAGGATCAGCACCTCCAAATCTGAGTCCATGGTCCTCAGTTGGAAAAGGGTGGATTGATCTCTCCGGGTTGGGAGTGAAGTTCTGCAAGTGGAGTTCAAGTACCTTGGGGTCTTGTTCACGAGTGAGGGAAGAATGAAGTGTGAGACTGAGAGATGGATCGCTGCAGCTTCTGCAGTTTTGTGGACTCTGTACTGGTCTGTTGTGGTTCAGAGGGAGCTGAGCTGTAAGGCAAAGCTCTCTGTTTACCGATCAGTCTTCGCTCCTATCCTCACCTAAGGTCACAAACTTTGGGTAGTGACCGAAAGAACAAGATTGAGGATACAAGTGGTCAAAATGAGTTTCCTCTGCAGAGTAAGAAGCTCAGTCATCCAGGAGGGACTCAGAGTAGAGCCGCTGCTCCTCCACGTCCACAGGAGCCAGTTGAGGTGGTTTGGGCATCTAGTAAGGATGCCTCCTGGACTCCTCTCTAGGGAGGTGCTTCAGGCATGTCCAACTGGGAGGAGACCCCGAGGAAGACCCAGGACACGCTGGAGGGACTATGTCTCTCGGCTGGCCTGGGGACACCTTGAAGTCCTCCCAGAAGAACTGGAAGAGGTGGCTGGATAAAGAGAGGTCTGGACTTCCCTGTTCAAGCTGCTGCCCCCGAGACCTGACTTTGGATAAAGTGGAAGATGATGGATGGATGGATGGATGGATGGATGGATGGATGAATTTATTCACTAGTTATTGGTCAGCTGCACTTCCTTTCACTGAATGGAGTTCTGTTTTTGTGAGTTTATTCTTAAAAACATCCTGTGTTTTCTTTGGTAAACTGTAGATATATAACTATAGAAATGCTATTTAAAAAACATCCACTTTAAAGTTCTACAACAAAGAAATGGTCTTAAAAGTCAGTCAGTAAACTTTATTTCTATAGCACCTTTCACAGACACAAACATCACAAAGTGCTTCACAGAAAGCAAAAATAATTAAAAACAATAAAACCGATCACAGATATAAAAACAACAATTAAAACACAATAAAAAGCACTTAACTAACTTACAGGGGACTTAAAGTAGAGCAGATCTCCATCTTTGAGGACAAACCAGCGTCTTTTCCAGGTTTTCTTCCAGGTTTTGATCATTTTCAGCAGATAGCCGGACTTCTCCATCAAGTCCTGAAACACAGTTTGATGCCCACAGAGGACAGAGACTGTTAGCTGATGGAGCTCAGAAACTGCACAACATGATTTGAGCTCAGCATTAAGARCCATTCAACCTCAGGATCTAATGATTAAAGTGAACTTTGACTCACACTTCCTCCATTGTCACTGCTTGAGCTGCAGGTCTTTGGCAGTTTGTGCTCTGGTTCAGAGCACTCTGTGTCCGTGGAGTAGGCATCAGGAGGGATAGCATAATCACTCTCAGAAGTGACTGAAGCCACAGACACAGCTGCAGGACCAACACACAGGTTGACTTTATAATAAACATGAAGAGTATGGACCTTTCGAACCGTCAGACCTTCTAACCTGTTTAAAGTTTAGGTTAAAGGCTTCAGGTTGATGTGTACCTCGTTTCAGAGACCGTGGACTGCCCAGACTGCCTGGACTGCCGTCTGCCCTGGATCCTGATGAGGCCTGGGAGCAGCAGATGGAGCTGTCATCCTCACCTGAGCTGGTGGACTCATCAGAGCTGCACGACTCACCTGAGAGTGAAGCACTGCTCTGCAGAGAGGCTTTCTGTCAGAGACAAGCAGCAAGGCATCATTTTAGCTGTTTGTGGACAAACAGCAGAGGTGGCCATGCTGTGAAGTGGCTGTTTTTTTAGCTGATGTGAAGGAATCTGCAGCACTAACTCACCCCCTTCAGGGTTGTGTAAAGCGGTGAGGTCATGTTTCTGTAGATGAGAGACGTGTACATCACAAATGCCGGACAGGAGGACTGCAGGGACCGGTCTGACAGAAGACAGGTGGTCAGCTGGGGAATCAGAAAACTACGAAGAAAACAGCTTTTTACCTTTGTCCTCAGGATCTGAACAGGTTGTGTTCGACAGTCTGATTCCTGTTTTAGCAACAGCATAAATACGACTTTCCTGTAAAACAAGAGAGTAACCTTTTAAAGTGGACATGTCCTGCTTTAAAATCCTTCACTGGGGTCTTTATAAAGAGGAACCACAAAGCTTTGGTCTGGATTCCTCCTTATTCTAACTTCACCAGCTCCTCTGTCACCCCTTTTCTGAGGTGTGTCTCAAAGCAGCTCGTTTTCTTCCTGTTCCTTTAAGATGCTTAAAGCCCCGCCCCCTCCAGCTTCCAGACC